GAAGAAGGTTGCAAAAGCCGTGAAATGCTACCGAAACTAGCAGGACTTGAGAGACCCTAGGGATTGGAAATGGTGCTCATGATCACAGGACAGGAGCCATCCTCTCACTTAGAGCTCCTGCCTCTGAGATTTTGCTTGTAAAATCCCAGGGGCACTTTTGGCTCTGGGTTTTTTGCTCTGTGGTCAAACAGGGGTCTTTGTTGGAAACTTTCTACCATTATCACACTGAGCATTCCTGGAAGAAGTGGGCAGGGGGTCTTCTGGCAGAGCCATCTGTGCATGCCCACTCTGGGAATACTGCCAAACCTGGCAGTTGAGAAAGTCTTGGCATCGGTGGGGGGTGGGGGGGGGTGTCAAGAATGATTCCCAAGTGTGTGATTTGGTAGCCCGTGATGATGCCAGTTCTGCCCCCAGAACATGGTTGAGGGGTGAGCAGGCAGGGAGTAAACTGTATACAGTTTGAGGACACTTTAGTCTGCAGACTCAATCTTAGGTTGCATATTTTGTAATGATCTGGTTTGACTTGATTTCTTTCCCTATTAGAAGTCCCACAAGGACAGGGCCGTCTCTGCTGTGACTTGCAGAGCCTAGCATACTATACTTGGTACATGGTAGGTATGCAATCAGTAAGGGTGAATAAATGAGTGCAGGTGACTGTGCAAAGCAGACAGTTGGTCAGATCGTTTGACTCTCAGGTGAGTATAGGAAATACAGATTCGAAGAGTGGGGACCAGCGTTAGTGCAGTGGACAGTGCCGCCACCTGCGGCGTTGGTCCTGTCCCAGCTGCTCTACTGACCCAACTCCCTGTTAATGGCCTGGGAAAAGCAATGGAAGGTAGTCCAAGAGCTTGGGATCTCTGCTGCCCATGTGGGAAACCCCTAGTGAAGCTCCTGGTTCCTGGCTTTATACTGGCCCAGTGCTGGCCATTGTGGCCATCTGAGGAGTGAACCAGCAGATGGAGGATCTCTCTCTCTAACTCTGACTTTCAAATAAATCTTTTTTTTTTAAAGTCATGAATGTAGGACCCAATGGTTGATAGACCTTGAGAGTTACTGACTCAGGGACATTTTAAAAATTCAGTACTGGCTGGTGCCGCAGTTCAATAGGCTAATCCTCCACCTGTGGCACCGGCACACCGGGTTCTAGTCCCGGTCGGGGCGCCAGATTCTATCCTCTTCCAGTCCAGCTCTTTGCTGTGGCCCAGGAAGGCAGTGGAGGATGGCCCAAGTGCTTGGGCCCTGCACCCCATGGGAGACCAGGAGAAGCACCTGGCTCCTGGCTTCAGATCAGTGTGGTGCGCCAGCCGCAGCAGCCATTGAGGGGTGAACCAATGGAAAAAGGAAAACCTTTCTGTCTCTCTCTCTCTCACTGTCCACTCTGCCTGTCCAAAAAAAAAAAAAAAAAACAGTATTGTATAAATGTGTTGTTTTCACGTAGAGGTAATAAAATTGTGTCCATCCTCCGCCCCCCCCCCCATATGCTGACAGTCCTGCATATGGTTTATGTTTTTCTCAAAATTTTTGTGACAGACTAGAATTAAATGTGATACATAGGAAAATAAAGGTGATAAAGACAGATTCTATTTCCTTTTAAGAATAACTGACTCATAGGACGAAACCGTGGATATGATTTTAGATCACTCCTGTAAACGCTCAGAAGAGATGTTTATAAAAACACTTGGAACAATACAGATTGTACTAAGAAAATGTGCCTTGATCAACTCTGGAGATACAAAGCAAGGAGCTTACTAAATCAGGTCCTGCTTGTGAATGGAGAGGACTGGAAGTTCACCTTAAAACTGAGAATTCAACATCAAGACTTCAATTTCTTTTTTTCTGCGTAGCAGATGTTAACTTAGTTTCATCTTTAATTTAAAAATAAAATGAATTGCAGATTTCAGATCTTGGCATCTTGAAATCCGGCTCCTGATGCCTATCTCTTAATAACTATTGGAACATTAGTCTAGAAATGGAATATGACTTTGGTTTTTTTACCCTTTAATTTTGAGGTGAGTGTGCATCCATCCAACTCTGTTGTCAGGAAAACCAAGCCACCAAGCCATTAGTAGGTTAAATGTGCCATAATTGTATTACTTAAATATTAGAAAAACATAGTTTTATAAAAGTAATATGTTCCTATGTTCACATTTGGAAGAGGTTTTTTTTAAGGTATAAGTACAGTTGAATTACATTTGTAGACTGAATACTCTTGTCCTACCACCCTGCCATATGACAAGATGCTCTAATAAAATGTATATGTTTTTAGTGTCTGTCTGTATTGCTTGGATTCTTTACTCCCCCTACAGTAGAGATGTGAGTCATTTTGTTTATTTAATTTTTCACCAATGAACTTTCATTAAATTTGGCTTTGAATGTAGGCTCAGGGTTAGCAAGTGGTAATCATTTATCCTGACTACACAAGTTATAGCAGCTCGTCTTTTAAAGTTACTGTAAGAGATATATAGGTATAAATATTTTAAAAATAACTCATAATTTCCACTTGAATTGTAGATTAATGCTTGCTCTCTCAGAATTTGAATAAATGTGTGATAGACTAAAACTTTGTGTATTCTGAATTTCACCAAAGCTACTCAAGATTGGGAAGGAGACTATATTTTGTATTTTAATGATAAGATCAAAATCATGAGTTTAAGTCCTGTGTAGGTTACTTAAGTAATTAAGAGGACAATTTCGGTGCCAAGATCTCAGACCCCTACAAATTATATCATGCTTAAAATCAGTTACAAAGCTTAAATTAAAGGATACTGGTTTCTGGCTCCTGGAAAAATAATTAAAATACATCTCATATAGTGTAGCTTATTCTATTTTCTGAAATGATTTTATTCTTTGAGCTTTTTTTTTTTCTGATTAACTCTTCAAAGGTAGTATCATTCAGAATAGAAAAATTCATGACCAAGATGTCAGGAAGGGGGCAAACAGCTCTTTGAGTCCCTTACACAGTTAGTCTGGGACTTGGCAGGGTCACTCCCATAAGGTGCCACTTAAAATTAGATGACACTGAAGTCCACAGTGCGATCGGCCCTCCAGCCCCATGTGTTCATGGGCCTTTATCCTTGGACTCAGCCAATCAAGGACTGAAAATATTTGAAAAATACTGTGTCCTGAATATTTATTATAGACTTTTTTTCTTGTCATTATTACCCAGACAGTATGACAACTAGTCACATAGTTTTTACATTGTATTAGATATTATAATTAATTTGGAGATGATTGAAAGCATACAGGGGAATACGTGTAGGATTCATGCAGTCTGCTGTTTTATAGAAGGGACTTGAGCATCTCCAGGTTTGGGTTTCCCGGGGGGCCCTGGAACTAACCCTCCACAGATCCTGAAGGATGACACTATCTCCACTCATGTAATTTTTGGGTTTTTTTTCAACGACTAGTAATTATAATTCAAAAAGAAACATTGAATAATGGGAGGGGGAAATCCAAATGTTTTATTTCTACCTAGATTTATGTTTCATTTCTACCTAGATTCTAATTAAGGGAGTATTTTGAGAATGAATATGCAAAACAATTGAAATGCTCTTTTATTTAAGTGTCTGTAGGATTTAGTGTGTGTTGCCTAGCTAAGGAATCTGATAAGTGATTCTAAATTACATGAGGATACTTCAAACAAAAAAAAAAACTTTGTGGACAATTGAATTAAAAGCTAAGTTTATTTAGATGCAAAATTGAGATTCATATGTATTGGGGATTTCAGAAAGTTCATGGAAATATGTGTTTCGAAAAAATTATGCATGAGTTTCAAAATTTGCATCAAAATAAAGATTGTTTAATTCCATGTTCCTTGAACTTTCACTTTCCTTCATGTGCCTTCTATATTTATAAATTTTTATTTATTTGGTTTTTGCTTTATTTGGAAGACAGAGGGATCTTCATCTGCTAGTTCACTCCCAAATGCCTGAGCAGCTGAAGGTTTGGGTCAGACCAAATACAGGAGCCTAGAACTCCAGCTGGGTCTCACTGGGAACAGGTCCAGCCGGGAACAGGGACCCAAGTACTTGAGCCATCACCTGCTGCCTTCCAGAGTGCACATTAGCAGTAAGCTGGATGGGAAGTGGAGATGGACTCAGTGTGAAATGGCAGGTATTCCCCGTGTTGGGAGGCAGCGCCCACCACCCCCATGTAGACACTTCTAATATGTCTCAACTGTAGTTTCTATAGTGTAAGTAGCTGATAGATCTTAAATAGTCCTTCTTAATGGACAGTGAGAATGCAGAAGCTGTCTGCTAGTTCTTGCTCTACTGTTACTCAACTCTGAATATAAGTTTTGTCCACCTCTCAAAGATAGCAAAGTAATGTACAGAAATTTTAAAAGAAGGGGGTGGATTTTGTGATTTGTAAACTTCTTTTGTGGATATGTTATCTGTGAAACCCCAGTGTATTAAATGGGTAAAAGAGGGCAGTGGAAGACTGGGCTACAGGAGTGTTGAAAAACCATTGTTCCAGGCTGACATTAACAAAATGTAGAATCTTTTTTTGGGGGAATGAAGACTGAATCACTTATTTATATTTCCTGTTACAATTTTACACCAATTATATGCTTATGTTATAAATATTGGTACCATTTAAAATACAAATTGTTTTAAATATTTAAAGCCGTTTTAGATACAGTCAGGTGTAATTAAGAGCATTAAATGGGAAGGTCACTCAGTAGGTGTGTAACAACAGTCTTGTCATCTTACTGAAGAGACCTTGCCTGAGTTTGCGAGAGTATGGTAATTAAGTCTACCTGAAGCCAGTGCCTGGAAAATGCAGTGTATAACCCAGTCCTGCTGCTGCATTGTAGCTCTTCCTTGTGAAAGGCGAACAGTCAGAATAGCGTGAATTAGACAGCAATAACACACTGAGAGTAATTAAACACCCGGTGCTCATAATGAGATGACTGCGTTCTCAGGTAGGTGTGGTCCAGTTTGGGGCCTGATTTAGGAGACACCTCCTAAAGGGTTCTGGATGTTCCTTTTTGCTTTTAGAATGGGAAACGGCTCTGTGACGTCAGGCTGGTTACCAGGATCATTAACTCTCCACCTGCCTGCAGAATGCTCCGATGTGGGTTTATGGGTTTGTGAGGATGAGTGGAGGTGCTGCATGTGATGTGCTCAGCACAGTGCCAGGTATGTTATACATTGTCATTAGATGTTCGGCTGCAGAACAATGTTTTCCTTCAAGAGGAAATGTAATAGTGGGGCAGTAATTGATGTTGGAAGTGTCAGAAAGAACCACAAAGTGGTTCTGACCTTGAATGGAACTCAAACTGGCGGGTGTCATTTCACTCTTTTACTTTAAGTCAGTACTCATATTGAAGGTGAACTGGGAAGCTTCCACAATTTTTAACTGTTGGTAATTAAATATCTCTTCTTTTTGGATCCTTTTCTTACCATTTTACCTAAACCAAAGCCGTTTTCATTTTTTTTTCTCATTAAACTTTTCTTTAATGGGTCTCAGAATTCTGTGAGGTTTTTGGTCAAGTTGTTTCCATTAACTAATACTGATTTTAAAAACATTTAATAACTTAAAACTGCCATTTTAATTTTTAAAAATTTAAAAAACGAAACGAATACTGTGGTTGGTTTTTCCTTTTATTTTTATGGTTATTGCTTCTCAAGATTGAGACCATTTACAAACTATGCTCACAGAACGTGTGGTCTGAAATGCCGCGGTTACTGAGCACTTGGAAGATTAGTGGTATTTAATGTGGATATAAATTTGAGTACAATATGCTCTGAACATGTGAAAGGGAATCATTATGTCAGTCAAAATTCACTAAAAGCTTATTGTTTAGGAAAATTGTTCCTTTGAGAACACAAAACATTACAGTTCAGAGGCATCCTAAAAAACTGAAAAAGAATAGCTGTTTCTAAGACAATCTGAATCATGTGATCAACAGCTATCTGTGACAGTGCAGTTTTATTGATGTTACGGTTTAGGAAGAAAACCTCAAAGAGACATCACTGCAGGGGAAAACATCAGAAAAGGTTTCAGATGGATGCCCTTTGTGAACTGTGAAGCGCGCTGTAAGTTGTGGCAAGAGATGTAGACCTCTGTGTTCTATTTGTGATGAGTAAATAAAGATACAGCTTTTTTTTTTTAAGATGTACTTATTTATTTGAAAGGCAAAGAGAGAGAGAGAGAAGAGAGAGAGAGCCAGGAGCCAGGAGCTTCCAGGTCTCTCACAAGCATTTGGGCCATCTTCTGCTGCTTTCCCAGGCGCATTAGCAGGGAGCTGGATCAGAAGTGGAGCAGCAGGGACTCGAACCCTCATCCATATCAGATGCTGGCACCCCGGGTGGTGGCTTTACTTGCTTTGCCACAGTGCCAGCTCCAAGATGTAACTTCTAGACCTTGATTCAGTTCAACAGAATTCTCTCTGAACTCAACAGTGGAGAGTATGTTGTGGTGCAGGGTGGTGTTTATCCTCAGTACCAGCCTTGTTGCTATTTTTAGAATCATTTTGTGTTTGTCTACCTAAGTTTTTCACATCTTTCTGTATTTCTAAGCCAGAAGGACCTCCTGGAGCTGACAAGCTCTGTTCCTGCTGTGTTTATAAGTATGGATTTATCTTTGTCCTGAACTCACTCAGGCTTCAAGAGATAACTTTTTCATTCTAGCAGTCTAAGTTGTTGGCAGCACAGCTCTAGTCATCTTACCATTTGTGTGTGTTATTTCAGCTTTGTATTAGAAGGAACACTGGGCTAGTCTGTGCAGCCTATTTCTGCTGACATTCTTTAGTTGTATTATTTTAGTGCCATGACTAAAACCTTACAAAGTATTCCAAGAAAAGTTGCAGAGTGGTTTTGTAATTTGGTACTATTGGCCATTCTGCATGAAATTCAGCTCCTAGAACCGTGCCAGACACAGAGTACATTTGCAGTAAATGTTTGTTTGAATTAATGAATTGCTTTCCGGAAGCTTGTGGTATAGTATTTTCCATGTTAAGTGACCGAGCATTCAGTATTGGTAGTTTAAATGTTCAAGCTTTGTTGAAAGCCCATAAACAGACTCCTGTGCAATCCAGGGAGACCAGTTTGATCACTTTCCCATCCAATAGTAATTTACTTTTACAGTTGTGTTTATATAGAGTAAAGGTCAAAGGAAAAGGTGTACTTGAAGCAGTTACATCAGTTGCTTTGCTTTGGTAAAAGATTTTCAGTATGCTGCCTAACAGGGGACAATTTAACATGGATACTATATAGTTTAGGCAGCCCCCCCCCCTTTTTTTTTTTAAGATTTATTTATTTGAAAGGTAGAGTTCCAGAGAAAGAGAGAGAGAGAGAGAGATCTTCCATCTGCGGGGTTACTCCCCAAGTGGCTGCAATAGCCAGAGCTGGGTCAATCCAGATCTAGGAGCCAAGAGCTTCATCTGCATCTCCTACGTGGGTGCAGGGGACCAAGCACTTGGCCATCTTCTACTTCTTTCCTAGGTATATTAGCAGGGAGCTGGATCTAAAGTGGAGCAGCCGGGACTTGAACCAGCGCCCATATGGGATTCCGGTGCTGTGGGCTGCGGCTTTAACCCATTAAGCCACAATGTCAAACCCTAGGCAGCTCTTTTTTAAAAAACTGCCTTAGTAGTTATAATTGATGGGCCTTTGGCTGCATATTTAAAGTGTAATTAATTCTGACACATACAAGCACTCGTGAAACCATCACAGCAATAAGGGTAATGAACATATTCATCACCACTCCAAATTTTTTTGTACCACTTTGTAATCATACTGTCTTGCCCCTCTGCCTCTGTCTGCAGGCAGCTGCTGATTTGGTTTCTGTTGCTATAGATGAGCATGCCTATATAGGGTTGCAGACTCATAAATGTGGAATCATCTTATGCGTACTCTTTTGTGTTTGGTTTCTTTCACTTGGCATAATTATTTTGAGATTTATCTGTATTGTAGAGTGCATCAGTAGTTTATTCCCTTTTAATGCTGGAAGTGTCCCACTGTATGGTTGTGTGTTTGTGTCTTTATTCACTATTGATGGTCATTTGAATGTTTTTTTTTGGGGATTATTATGAGTACAACAAGTCGTTGTATAGACATATACTTTCCTTTCTCTAAGTAAATGAAAATGGGATGACTGAGCCGGCGCCGTGGCTCAATAGGCTAATCCTCCGCCTTGCGGCGCCGGCACACCGGGTTCTAGTCCCGGTCAGGGCGCCGGATTCTGTCCCGGTTGCCCCTCTTCCAGGCCAGCTCTCTGCTATGGCCAGGGAGTGCAGTGGAGGATGGCCCAGGTGCTTGGGCCCTGCACCCCATGGGAGACCAGGAAAAGCACCTGGATCCTGGCTCCTGCCATCGGATCAGCGCGGTGCGCCGGCTGCAGTGGCGGCCATTGGAGGGTGAACCAACGGCAAAAAGGAAGACCTTTCTCTCTGTCTCTCTCTCACACTGTCCACTCTGCCTGTCAAAAAAAAAAAAAAAAAAAAAAAAAATGGGATGACTGGATCATATACATGTTTACTTCTTTGGAGGTTCCAGACTGCCTTCCAAGTTGCTTCCTTTTACATTCCCATCAGCAGTGCATGAGGATTTCCAGTGTCTCCATGTATTTGTCAACACTGGGTGTGGTCAGTCTTTTTAAGCCATTCTAATAGATGGGTGGTAGGATCTCATTGTTGTTTTAATTTGCATTTTCATAGTGACTAATAGTATTGAGCAAATTTTTATGTATGTATTTGCCATTCCTTGGTAAAGTGTCCAATCTTTAATCCATTTGTTTCTTGGGTTGTTATCTTATTGACTTCTAAGAGTTCTTTATATATTCCAAGTACAGATTCTTTTTCAGATTTAAGCTTTGCAGTCTTTTAGCCCAGTCTGTGATTCATCTTCATTTCTTTATTCTAACAGTGTCTTTCAAAGAGCAGGAATTCTTCATGTTGAGAAAGTTCATTTTGTTCTATGCATTGTGCTTTTGGCGTCACATCTAAGAACTCTTTTTTTTTTCATAAATTGAATTTAGTGTTTAATCACAGTCAGAAAAAGAAAAAAAGGTTATACTGCATGCTTTTGTGCTGCAATTATCAAGAAGTATGAGAAGTACCTGACATTCACTTTGTTTTTTTTTTTTTAACTTTTATTTAATGAATATAAATTTCCAAAGTACGACTCATGGATTACAATGGCTTCCCCCCCACACCGTCCCTCCCACCCACAACCCTCCCCTCTCCCACTCCCTCTCCCCTTCCATACACATCAAGATTCATTTTCAATTATCTTAATATACAGAAGATCAGCTTAGTATACATTAAGTAAGGATTTCAACAGTTTGCTCCCACACAGAAACATAAAGTGAAAAATAATAGATGATTTTTTTAAATGATGATGAAATCAGATCAGACATATTGTCATGTTTAATCCCATTGAGAGTCAAGTTGGGAATTGATAATTTTTTTTTTGTTGTTTTACAGAAGATCAGTTTAGTATGCATTAAGTAAAGATTTCAACAGTTTGCACCCCCATAGAAACACAAAGTGAAATATATTGTTTGAGTACTCGTTATAGCATTAAATCTCAATACACAGCACATTAAGGACAGAGATCCTACATGAGGAGTAAGTGCACAGTGACTCCTGTTGTTGACTTTACCAATTGACACTCCTGTCTATGGCATCAGTAATCTCCCTATGCTCCAGTCATGAGTTTCCAAGGCTATGGAAGCCCTCTGAGTTCTCCGACTCTTATCTTGTTTAGACAAGGTCATAGTCAAAGTGGAGGTTCTCTCCTCCCTTCAGAGAAAGGTACCTCCTTCACATCTAAGAACTCTTTACCTAAACCAGGGTTACAGAGATTGTCCCTTACATTTTCTTACAGAATTTTTATGGTTTCATGCTTTCTGTTTAGGTATATTAACACATTTTGAGTTAATTTTTGCATATGACTATTTAGTTGTTCTAGCACCATTTGTTGAAATGACCAGTCCCTATTCACTAAATTGACTATGCACTCTTGTTAAAAATCAGTTGTCCTTATATGTGGTTCTGTTTTTGGTCTCTGTTTTGGTCCATTGATCGCCTTTATCCCAGTACCACATTGTCTTAATTACTGTAGGTTTATAGTCAGTCTTAGAATCCAGTAGTGTCCTCCAGCATTCCTTTACAGAGCAGTTTAGGCTATTCAAG